ACAAATCCCATTCCTTGGGGGTGACAGGGTACAGGTCCTGTAACAACACCAACCCCCCCCCCCAACTTTCCTTGAGTTTTCTCCTTTTTCCCACATGGTCAAGTGTTCACTAACCTTCCCAGTAATCCCCAGTCTCCCAATTCTGTTACCTCCCATTGTCTGTTACCTCTGGATTACCTTGGGCCACTTCCCACCTTTAATCCTCTCTAGATTCCATTCTCCCTTGACCAAGTGGTTCAGGTCCCTGGCATTCTCTGTTACCTCACAGTCACCTCGGACTGCTTGGCCACTCCTAGATCCCTCCCACAGTCTTTCTGTATATAAGATCCATCTTGGCCAACGTTAAGGTGCTCAGATGCAATCTGGCCAGCTTGCGTTAGCGATACAAATGCTTAGATTTTTGAAGAGTCTGGCCAGTCTGGCAGATTTTTAGAATCATGCCCACTCTCTATCGGTGTTTTTAATAAACCTTGGCTTTGGCTGAAAAAAGGCTTGGGTCAAATTTCAGGGTCCCAGCACCCCTAAACCTCAACACAGGGCAGTCTTCATGTTTCTTCACATGGGGAGTCCCTAACTTCCCAAAGGTAAGAAAGATAACAACCACAAGAAGAATATTTGGTGCCGCAAACCAAAAGACACATTGATTGGCCAAGTCTGATGGCACATATAACATCCCGTACCTGTAGCTCCTCATGTCTTCAACAAATATGGTTTTTGTGGCAGTGCATAGAGCTCTGGCCTCTTGTCTCAGACACTTGACACTTAAGTAGCTGTGTGACCCTGGGCAAGTCACTTAACCCCGATTGCCTCACCAAAAAAGCAAAAAAAAAAAAATCAAAAAACAGTTTTTTAAACATATTTATTTATCATGCTCTCATGTGCTCCATTGATCTTATTCTGCTTGCAAGGCCGTTAAGAACAAGGACCATATGGCAAAGAATTGGAAATTGAGAGGATACCCACCAATTGGGGAATGGCTGAGCAAGTTGTAGTATATGAATGTAATGGAATACTAGTGTGCTATAAGAAATGATGGACAGCCTGACTTCAGAAAACCCTACAAAGACTTTTATGGTCTGATGCTGAGTGAAATGAGCAGAACCAAGAGGACTTTGTACACAATAACAGCCACATTATGCAATGACTAAGATTGTTAAACTGAACCCTTCTCAGCATTACAAGGATCTAAGATATCTCCAGAGGCCTGGGGATGGAAAATGCTGTCCACATCCAATGAAAGAACTGTGGAAGTCGAATCGCTATCACTTATTTTTACCTTCTGTTGAGTTTTGTTTCATCTTTCTGATGGTTCCTCCTATTGGTTTTAATTTTTACTTACAACTTCATTAATGTGAAAATATGTTTAATGGGTATGTAAATGTGAAGCCTATATCAGATTGTGCACTGTCCTGGGGAGGGTGGGTGGGAGGAAGGGGGAGAAAAATTTTCAACTCAAAAGCATATGGAAGTGATTGTTGATAAATCAAAATAAATTAATTAAAAAAAAAAAAGAACAAGGACCATATCATTTATACTTTACCACCTTGCCCAGTGCCTGGAACATTGTCTACTGAATTGAATTAAGTAGGCCCTCATCCCAGGTTTCATTCTCATTTTAGAGACTACAACTGAGCATCTCCCAAAGCCTCATTTAGTAGCAGGGAGGAAGAGGTCATAGCTAAAAAGATGAGAAAGCCTCCAAATAGATGTGGTCTTAAGAGTTGAATGGAATGGTAGAAAATTGGGAAAGAATTTTTAGAACCAGTCTCTCTGATAAGGGCCTCATTTCTAAAATATATAGAGAATTAAGACAAATTTATAAGAATACAAGCCATTCCCCAATTGATAAATGGTCAAAGGATATGAACAGACAGTTCTCAGATGAAGAAGATAAAGCCATCTATAGTCATATGAAAAAATACTCTAAATCATTATTGATTAGAGAAATGCAAATCAAAACAACTCTGAGGTATCTCATCACACCTATCAGATTGGCTAACATGACAAAACAGGAAAATGATAAATGTTGGAGAAGATGTGGGAAAAATTGGAACACTAATACATTGTTGGTGGAGTTATGAAATGATCCAACCATTTTGGAGAACAATTTAGAACTATGCCCAAAGGGCTATAAAAATGTGCATACTCAGCAATAACACTTCTAGGGCTATATCCCAAAGAGATCATACAAATGGGAAAAGGACCCACATGTACAAAAATATTCATAGCAGCTCTTTTTGTGGTGGCAAAGAATTGGAAATTGAGAGGATGCCCATCAATTGGGGAATGGCTGAGCAAGTTGTAGTATATGAATGTAATGGAATACTATTGTGCTATAAGAAATGATGGACAGCCTGACTTCAGAAAAACCTGAAAAGACTTATATGGTCTGATGCTGAGTGAAGTGAGAAGAACCAAGAGAACACTGTACACAATAACAGCCACGTTATGCAATGACTAAGATTGTTAAACTGAACCCTTCTCAGCCTTATAAGGATCTAAGACATCTCCAGAGGCCTCGGGATGGAAAATGCTATCCACAGCCAAAGAAAGAACTATGGAAGTTGAATTGCTATCTTTTTTTTTCCTCCTTCTGTTGAATTTTGTTTCCTCTTTCCAATGGTTCCTCCTATTGGTTTTAATTTTTACTTACAACATCACTAATGTGAAACTATGTTTAATAGGAATGTAAATGTATAGCCTATATCAGATTGTGCGCTGTCTTGGGGAGAGTGGTGGGGAGGAAGGGGGAGAAATATTTTAAATTCAAAAGCATATGGAAGTGATTGTTGATAAATCAAAATAAATAAATAAATTTTTTAAAAAAGAGTTGAATGGAATGTTATCAAAACAAAAAAGCCACCTAACCATAAGAAATCTTCTACTGAGAAGGACTGGATTTAAGACCCAGGTCTCTCTTGTTCAAGGATCATGATCTTGAACAAATCACTATTTAGACCCTCATTTTCCTTCTCTGTGAAATGAGAAACACGGACAAGTTGTACTGTAAGGTCTTCTCCTACTCTAAGCTTCTCTAGGGGGAAAAAAAAGAAGTGAACCAACCATAGTGGCAGTGATGGAGCCAACATTTGATCCAATGAGCTTTTATTAAGCATGTACCAAGTATCAGACATTGTACTAGACAATGGGTTTACAAAGACCATTCCTGCCCTAAAGGAGTTTGTATTCTTTCTAGAAGAAACCTCAACAGTACATATGTAATTAGATTAAAAAGAAATACAATACAAATCCAAGAGCTTTGTTGGGGGGAGGGGAGAGAAAGGCACTAGGAGCTGAAGTGGTTCTTCCATGACACCTTATACTATTCCCTGGATACCCAGAGACTGACGTAAAGGTGGGAAGTGTGAGCTGTGGAGGCAAGCTGGCAAGCACATTGTAAATCGGTGGTAGAACAGCAAATGAAACTAATCCTTTTAACCATCTAAACTCCTGTTTTATCTCCAAGAAATGGCACTTCCTCTTGCCGGCCATGTTTTTTTTATTTTTCTCTACAGTAATGATACAGGAAACTATTATATGTTTGTGCTTCAGGCTCCAGGATTTGTTTATAATGCAATTAAGTATCATGAACTAAATATAGAACATTTATATAGGCAGACCCTGTCTTTTAAGGTCATAGCATAGTGCTTGCTCTAGACCTGGGCAGTCAGGCTAGGTCAGCATAGTATGTCTTTGAGAGAGCTTGGCCTTTTCTATTCAGAGAACACCTACAATTTCACTTTAATGGGAGCAGGTATTTGCTTCACAGATTACATATCCTAATATAGTCTATCACTTTCTTGTCTCTAATTTCTGCTCATCTTTTAAAGCTCAACTCCTATACCATCTCTCCCAAGAAGCTTTTCCTGATAAACCTTGTCAGGTGACAAAACCAGGGGAGGGGAGGGGAAGTGAGACAGACAGACAGAAAGACAGATACAGACAGAGACAGAGAGACAGAGAGAGATAGAGACAGCGACAGAGAGAGAAAAGAAAAAAGAAAAAGCCAGGAAGCATCTCATGCTGAATTTGAACTCAGGTCTGTCTAGACTTCAGGTGTAGTGCGCTATTGACTGTGCCACCTAATTCCCTCTTATATTCTTTTACTCTTTACTACAGTGGGGAGCTCGATGGGGGCAGGTTGTTTTATCCAAACTTTTATTTCCCCCGTCACCTAGAATCAATCAATCCAATAAACAATAATTAAGCATCTACTATGTGCCAGGCACTGTGCTAATCGCAGGAACAAGGTTCTTTCCACACGAGAATTGAAATTAATTGATATGCACTGATATGAACTGATTTCTCCCTCAGGTGTTCAGCAGGGGGAGAAAGCATCATTGGATTGCTTAGATGAATAACAGTTTAAAGAATGATGTTGGCGGTCCCTAAACTTCTCCAGGAAAAAAAAAAGTCCAAGGCTCTTGATTAGAGTCTTCTGAGGATTTAAGCCCTTACTGGTAGGTAAGAAGAGGATCGATTTACCTGGGAAAGAGGAGGGGGGCAGTGAGGAGAGAAAAGAGAACGATCATCTTTCTTTAAAAAAAAATCATGTTTCTTTTTTCATTCATTCATTCATTTATAGCATTCATTTTTTAAATGTTGAGTTCCAAATTTTCCCCCACCTCCAGCCCCTCCCCCACCCATTGAGGAGGCAAGCAATATGATAATGATCCCCTTTTCATTCAACACTCCTGTAGATTACAATGGCCTTTTCTAAGGAGAGCGTTTTTAATAGCAAAGAAGCTGTGTGTCCAACGCTGGACCCAAAGGGGGAGGGAGGGAGAACAACACACACCAAAAAATAAAAAATAAATAAAAAATAAATAGTGGGTTGGGGGAGGGGGAGGGGTCGTAGCCCAGAAGGCGAGAAAGCTTACGAATAGGTGCGGTGTCCCTTTAAGAGTCAAATGGAATGTATCAAAACAAAAAAGCCACGCGCCCATTGGTCAGACGACCAGCACGTGAATTCACAGCTGATTTCCTGGCTTTTTGTTGCTGCTGCTGCTGCCGCTGCTGCTGCAGCAGCCGCAGCCGCCGCCGCCGCCGTCGCCGTCGCCGCAGCCGCAGCTGCCCCGCTGCTCGCTGCTGTGTGTCAGTTTCAAACCTCGCTTCTCCAGCCCGCGGCTCCCAGAGCGACCCTCGCGTGTCCCTGCTCCCGCTTCACTGGAGACGCCGGAGAGGGGGGCAGCACGCTGCCAGCACCGCCCCCAGCCGCAGGGGCTTCTTCCCCTCCCGCTCGGACCGACGACCCTCGAGGAACCAGAACCCACCTCCCCAAACCCGACCCCCATCATGGCACACTCTGCCCAGCTGAACATCTTGGAGCAAAACTGCCCCATCCAGGTGGAGCACGATCGGAAGCGGAGGCAGTTCACGGTCAAACTGAATGGTAATGTAGCGCCAGCCAAGTCTCACTTTTCTCTCTTCTACCCCCCCATCCCCTTTCCTCTCCCCCCCAGTCATCACCACCCCCCTCCCCTCCTTTTCTATCTTTTGTTTGCACGGAAAGCAAGAAGCTAGCGAGCTAATGCAAAGAGTGCCCTCTAGCTAAACCGGGATTGATTTTTTTTTCTTAGAACCGAGTTCTCTCTCCTCTTTCTCCTTTTCTTTTTATTATTATTTTCTTTTATTTTATTTTGCAGCGGCGGTGAGGCTGGTTATGCAATGGAATTACAGTGTCAACAGAGCAACTGGAAACCCCAAAAGGGTTGGGAGGGAGGGAGGGAGGGGAATGGTAGGGAGAATCTGTGAAATGTATTGGAGTCTCATCCCTGCTGGAAGAACAAGTAATGAGTGCTCCCAGCTGATCTCCTGTTACCATCCCCCTGTCTCAGAGATCTGTGCTTTGTTTCTACCTCTCTGCCCTCCTGTGCCAACCAGAAGCTTGGTTGGTGCCTCAGTGTGCTGAAAGTGGGTGGGAGAGCACCTGCCCACACAACTTGTGTTTGTAAACCAGTGGTTTACAAAGTGGTTGAGGCTGTACTTGTTCTGAGGGTCGTGGGTTTATTTTCAGTTCCGAGTTTTACGGTATGAGAGATCCTCCAGACCATTTTTAAAAATTATGAAACAGGGTCCCAGACTCTTGGACAGGTCCTTTGAAAGGCTTTCGCTCCCTCTCCCCCCATTCCCAAACCCCTACCTCCTACTTCCCATGTGCTTCAGCCTGAATCCTGACAGGTTGTAGGGTCCGAATTGCATTCCTTTCCTCTTTCAGCCCTGGGGCTACTGGTGGAAAGTCACTGAGTGTGCAAAGTTTTCTTTCTACAGTTTACACCCAGGCAGGAAAGATTATCGCTAGTGCATTGTCTCTTCAGGTTCAGGTCAATAGGAGCATTTCATGGGTACATACCAAGCTGAGTAGCTTTTGAACTCCGGGTGGGAAACCTTGTGCTTATGTTTAACTCTGAGAGTGCTGAATGGAAAGGCCTGAGGGGAGCCCAGGAAAAGGCTCGGGATAGAAATTCGAGCTACCAAGTGTGACTTTATAAGGGGCAGGAGAGCAGAGTGGGAGAGACGGTAGAGAGAGAGGGTGTCCAGCAGAGGCAGGGCCTTCCTTGCTCACAAATAGGTCTTCAATAAATGCTTATTGAATTGAATTAAGACTCTGATGACTTTTTCTGAACTTAAAGCTACTATTAACGTTTCTTTTGTCTATAAAATGCTCACCACTTATAGATCCACCCTCTCTCTTTTTCTCTTTGAAGTCTGAGATTTGGGGCTGCCTCTTCCCCACAAACTTATGGCCTCACTCTTCTCTTAGAATTCCTTCACTATATGCTACACCCATGTTGGAGAGAGAAAGGATCATAGAATTTTGAACTGGAAGGGTCCTCAGAGATGACCTAGCCTAGGGATGGGGAGCCTTCGACCTGGAGGCCCCACGTAGCCGTCTAGGTCCTCAAGTGCAGCCCTTTGACTGAATCCAAACTTTTATTAAGGGGATTTGTTCTGTGAAGTTTAGATTTGGTCACAGGGCAGCACTTGAGAACCTAGAAGGCCATGTGAGGCTCCCCACCCCTGACTTAGACCAAATCCTGCCCAGTCTCCCCCACCCCCATTTATGAGGGCCCAGAGAAAAATGATTTTTTCCAAAGTCATTAAGGTATAGTGAGTGGCAGAGGTGAAATTTGAACCCAACACTTCTGAACTCCAGTCCACTGTCCTTTACACCATAGCTGCCCTTTACTGTACAACAGATGGTCCTTGGTTGAAGTGAACGTCCTGTTTTTCTTTTTCTTACAAAAAAAAAAGCCCAAATCAGGTTTTTCTAAGCCTAATTATGGGGTCACTGACAGGAAAGAACCAAGGTGAGGGAGAAACACAGCCAACGAGCCCCCTGGAGATCAGAGACAACCCTATGATTCTGGTGGTTTCTTGTGTTTTGTTTTGTTTGTTTGTTTTTTGCAGTTGGAAGAACCACAGTTTCTCGGTGAGCACCCTAATTGTTTGTTCTAAACATATACAGAGATGGCAGTCTGCTTGCTGCATCTGGTTCAGAACTTTTCGGGTAGAAACAGTAGTCCATTTTTAGACCCACAGAAATTGTAGGCAGGGATGCAAAAAAAGAAAGGAAAGAGAGGGGAAAAAAAGTTTTGTTTTGTTTTTAAATTGATTCGGCCCTGGAGTCATCCCCTGGAGACAGCTTCAATCAGAGAGCCAGACTAGTTCACAGGGATATTTCTAAACTTTCCCCTCCCTTTCTTTCCCTTCCCCCACTCCAGACCACTAATTATAAAGTGTACTCCCTAAGTCAGCCCTGGGTGAAGAGAAAGCAGGACAAATCCAGGGGGCCAGATGAGGGGTTGTTGAAAGAGTGATTAAAGACTGTGAATAAAAGGCAAGAAATCAAACAGAAAGAGCTAGCCTGGCTTGAGTCCAGAACAGAAAGACACCAAATTCTCTTTGGCCCACATGTGACTCTTTTACTGCCCTTAGGTAGTGATTTCAGATTGATTGGCATACCACCATGTGCCAGTCACTGTCCAAAACCTACCCAAGGGCCAGCCTCTGTCCTCTAGGACCGTTCAAACCCTGGCTAGCACTGGGTAAGAGCCTCCACCTTCCTGGGCCTTGATTATCCCAGCTGCCAAGGGGAAAGAAAATGGTAGAAGGGATTGTATGCAGCTGAAATGCCTGTCAAATACAAGGCTCCTATTGGCCTTACAGTCTGGTTGTTGAGTGAATGAATAGCTTGCTGTGAGCCAAGCACTTTGTAGACCCTAAAGCAGCATTATCCCTGAAATACTCAGGGCAGAGGAGGGGGATCCGTTGTCTACCTAAATAATTTCAATCACCAAAAATTCCATGAGCCAGTACTCCAGGCCGGGCCGATGTCCTTGTTTACTCTTTTGGGGAGGAACCAAGGAAGTCTGCCTCACGTGGGGGTGTCCCGTGCTGCCTTCCCTGGCTTCTGGCTCCCTGTGGGAATGGGAGCCAATCAGGCTGTGGAGTTATTTTATCTGAAATTTTTTTTTTTATTGCAAACTTAATCATCAACGAATATTTCCATATACAAAGACAAACAAGAAAGGCAGTTGTCTATGAAACTGTAAAGTTCTGTTATAGACAGGTGTTTAAGACAGACACACACACACACATATACATACACGCATGCCCGTGCATGTGCCCGCAAACATCTTAGCACAGTTTTAAACTACTTAAGGTTAACACTGCACTAAGTCTTTTAGAATACCCGTAATAATTTAACAAGGTAGTCATGAAGGAAACAGGCCTAGGGTAGGGAGGTGACTTCCCCAAGGTAACAGTGAATTCTTGTCAGATCCAAGAATAGAATCCAGTCTCCCAGCCCAGGGTTCTCGATTTTCACTAGGTAATTAAAAAAAAACAAACCCAAGAGCTAATAGGCTGGTTGTTGTTGGTTTTTGTTTTTTTTTTTTTTTGCTATTATTCAGCATTCATTAACTCTACAAGTATGAGTAAAATTGGTCCTTAGATTGGAGGCCTTTGTCCAACGGGAGAGATCTGGAGAAATTTCTGTAGTTAAGAGTGAGTGGTTTTCTAGGAAGCCTGACTCTCCCTCTGACTCACATTGATTATGATGTAGAAATTCTCTCATCATTACTTTATCCTGAAAAGGCATCTAGGCATAATGGATAGATAGCTGGGCTTGGGGTCAGGAAGACACAGTTTTGATTCCTGCCTCAGACACTAGATATCTATCAGTCAGTAAGTGTAATCTTAGGTAAATTATTTAACCTCTTTCAGCCTCAGTTTCCTCGACTGTAAAATGAAAATGATAATAAAAGCATTAACTCCACAATTTCTAACAAGATAATGGATATAAAAGTGCTTTGTGAATCTTAAAGCTAAGACTGATATATATTAGCTGTGACTATAATCACCAAGGGAGACCTAACTCACAGAATGGCATTATCTTGCCAGAGGCCCTCCTGGGAAAAGCATTAATAATTCTTGGATCCCTTCTCTGCGGCCTGGTTTCCTGGTTTCTTTGGTTCTTTCTTTCCTGCAAATCTGAATATTCTCATGTCTGGGCCTTGGTTTCTTCACTCATTAATTGAGAATCAAGGCCCTCTCAGGTCTGACATTTTATGATGTATGTGGGGGCATGGCTCAGAGTGCTTCTTCCTCTGATGTGACCAGCTGTACTCTATGGTTACTTACTAGGGTGAGTCAAGATTTGTGCTGGGCAAGTAAGTGGTTGCGAATGCTCTGTGGGTCTTCCGAGCTGACCGGTAGAAGGATATGTGTATATTTAATTGCCAAAGTTGTATTTCCTGCCTGCTGTGCACAGAGCACCACGTGAGGGAGATAGGAGAGAAGTATAGGACGTAGTTGATAACACCAAAGAGCTTGTAATGTAACTGAGGAGATAAGTCTGTTATGTGTACATTTAAAAAGATAACCTATGAGACCAGACACGTGGCACGTACTAGCTCTGTGACCTTAGGCAAGTCACTTAACCCCAGTTGCCTCGCCAAAAAAAAAAAAAAAAAGAAAAAGGGCAGCTAGGTGGCACAGGGGATGGAGTACCGGCCCTTGGAGTCAGGAGGACCTGAGTTCAAATCCGATGTCAGACATATAACATTTACTAGCTGTGTGACCCTAGGCAAGTCACTTAACCGCATTGCCTAGCCAAAAAAAAACCAAAGTAAAAAAGATAACCTAGCATCACAAGTAGATGGGAGCTTGTCATAAGTGCCCATGAGGCACTCCCTCCCCTAGAAGATCAGAGGAAAGGATGGAGATGGTGCCACAGTGCAAAGAAAATGGATTTGGAGTAAGAGGACCTGGGTTCAGATCCTGGTTCTGTTCCCTGCTGAATGGGTTGGACTAAGTGGACTTGAAGGTCCCTTTTGTCTTTAAAGCTCTGATCTTGTTATAGGTCAGTGAGGAATGTAATAGTCAAAG